ACAGAGCCATCATCACTCCTCTCCCAAATCCCACCAAACAAAAAAGAATAGGCATTAAAGCATGCAAGAGGAGGCCATTTAGCAAGACAACATTCAGGGAGAGGGGTTTGAAAAAAAAGAAAAAAAAAAAGAGAAAAAGCAAATTTTTGTGGAGAGGAGTTCAAAAAAATAAAGAAATTGAAGAAAAACAAAAAAAAATCGAGGGGAAGAGAGATTTTGATTTTGTAAAAAATAAGATGATTTTCCCCTTCAATATATATATATATATATATATATATATATATATATATATATTGTACAAAGGTAATCGTCCCAATTTTTCGAGAAAATGTAATACAAAAAAAATCATAGCAATCTTTTTTTATTTCGAAATGCAAGACTTGTTTTAAAGAATATAGAGTAATAGAAGAAGAATGAAAAGAAGTTCACCTTCGGCCGTTGGTGTTTTCCAGCGAATAGAACGCTCTTTGTCACATCCGAACGGTGAGTAGCCCTCTTCCATCGAGAAGAAGAACATAGTTTGAAATGGACCCCATCCAACGGTCTGACGACGTAGATTGGATAGTGAAATCCGAAAGGTTTTATGGCCTTTTTATGGAGCTTGAGGCCAATTTTCGTGAAACCAAGGGAAGATCCATGACCACCTCTTTGAAGTGAGAAAACTAGTGAAATTTGGTGGCTAACGACCACCGATGCCGGCGGCAACGGCCGGCGGTAGATAGAACGACGGCCGGCGAGGGTAAGCCACTACGACCGACCGATTTTCTAGAGAGAATGGAGACCCTCTCTCTAGTTTTTAATTAAAATGGAAAAATGAAAAAAAAGAAAAAAAGAAAAAGAAAAATGATATTTATAGAAAACTTTAAGGGAAATTGCACTTAAGTCCCCCTAAGTTAGGTGTGTTTTATAAAATAGTCACCTATAGGGATCGTTTTTGTAATTTATATATTTTTGATGAATGTTATATAGTTTTGGTTTAATTGTTGTTTGGTCTCTTTACTTTTATGCGTGTTTTGCATTTTGGTCATGTGTAGTGACTATTTATTTATTTTTAAGTATTTAAGGACTAATTTAGAGATTTTCCTTTTTTATTTCTCAGCACTAGCTTTTTGGTGTATTTTTCTTCTAGAGCCCTCTACTTTATGCGTGTTTTTCCTATTTCATTTTAGTCCTATTTCACTTGTTATAATATTTTAGGAATATTTTAATTCGAGTGTCTTACATTAATATTTTGGTCCTGAATGATTAAAGTTTGTGTATTTAGGATTGCAGCGCCTAATTTGTAAAATATTTGCAATGGTTGCCTTGATTTCTTGTTGGTTGTATAGTTTAATCCCTAAAGTCACTATCTTTATTATTATGATCCATCATTCATATATTTGTTAATTACTCGCTAGTTGTAATATTTTCAAATGTTATTTTACTCGAGGAATTTATAAAAACGCGCCTTAACTGACAAGGAGTGTGTTTCCAAGAATTGTTCGAACAAAATAATACCTTTTATATTTGAATGAGTTTTTTGATATATGTATTTTAACTATAAGCCAAGACAATGTTATTTTGTATGGAGAATCCATGGAAATGCCCCCTTAACTGAGAAGGAACGTATTTCGAGAATTGTTCGTGCAAAATAACAACCCTTATATTTTTTCTAAAATTGGATCATAATTTAAATGTATATTCGAATTTGCCAATTTTAGTATTTAGATGATACATAATCGCTTAGGTACCGATTTTGGACGTTGTGGGGGGTGTTAATTCTTCCCCACACGTAATCGACTCTCGAACCCTTTTCAAAACGAATTTCTGGTTAAACGCTGATCATTTTTTTATCTTTCAAAATTACTTTTTCTTAAAATTATTTTAAAATATATTTTTAGGTATTCGACATACCTAACCCAAAGGTCGATGACGACTTCAAATTTACTTATTATTACATTTATTTTAAAATTCAACATTTTCCAAGATTAAGTTGAATTGCTCCCCGCCATAGCCCTAAAAAGCTTAAGGACCGTTCTGACAATATTATTTTCATTTAAATTACATCTTTTAAAAGAAATCTTATTTCAAATAATAAAACAAGCTTTCCAATTAACTAAATTTTGTAAAAAAAATCATAAATTATATTTTTCAACAGCAATGACAACCAAATAAACACGAGTCATGAACAATTTTAATCATCTTGAGTCAAAATGTTCATTAAAGGGAAAAATTATGAAATAAATTAATGTCAAATAATTGGAACTCCCCCACTAATGACAAGAATAGCTTTGTTGTTATTAACGGTATTGATTTAAGTAGTAAACAATTTAATATCACTTAAGTAGATATCGAGTTCGTGTCTTTATGTGAAGAAAATCCCTGCCGAGAGACTCATCTACCAAAATTAGGTATATAACTTGGATCAGTCCAAATCATCTTAGTTAAGGCAAAACCTTAGGAACATGATAACCAACAGAAATAAAGCTTTATATTGAAAACTACTTCGATTGGTTACGATGTTGCTTACAAATTGCATCATAATTTAACTGCACACGTACACATCATTCCAATATAATAATAGGGCAGCAGGTAGCGAATTCTATGTTGTAAATTGAATGGTTGGCATTTATAATTAATTATTGAATAAAGGATTTTATAAGATATTGCTAGTACACTAAACAAATTATGCGGTTAAAGTTCACAAGTCTCTATACTATATAAAAAGTTTATTTTAGTTTTTCTATTATAAAAATATTTTATTTTTTTATATTTAGAATAATAAATATTTTGGTTCAATTTATATATCTTTTAATTCTTTATCAATTTTAAGGTTGAGTAAATTGCACGAACCAAGCTACCTCAATAGTAAAAGTATTGTTATTATTCTTCGAGGTCCCGAGTTCGAGCGTCATGAATACCATAGTTTTGAGCTTTCAATGTTCAATGTTAAATGGTTGAGAATTATCTTTGAACAAATATTATTCTATACTTATCCCAGATTAATAAAAAAGATCTAGCAAATTAATCCCTCTTGAAATAAAGAAGAGTAAATTAGTCGGTTACTCTTTGGAAGTGAGTAAATAAATCTATTATTAAACTTATAGATGTTTTTGGATGAATAATTTTAAGGATGGATTTTATTTTTATATATTTTTTTTGAAATTTTAAAACTAAATTCAACTGTTTAAGTAAAAATAATAGAGAATTTCAAAATTTATAATAAAATTTGTTGGAGAATTTTAGTAACCCAAATGTATTGTTCAAACTTTAATACATATTTTATATTTAATGTTTTAATTTTTTATATATATTTTTACAAATATAATAATATTCATATTGTATATTTTTAGATGGCTTATTTTAGATAATATTAATTTTATTTTATAATTATTTTTTAAACTCATACATGTTCATCTCATTAAATTTGTTTCTTTTGAATTTTAAAATTGTACCATTAAAAAATGTCGTATTAAAAAAATTAAAAAATTAAAAAATTTATATTTCTTTTTTGATCCTTATGCATATAATTCTTTTACATATATCAAAACAAATCGATCAATCACTTTTTTTAATATAATTTTATCATTTTCCTAATTTTATAGGGCTTAATACAAAAAAGTATTCAAACTATATATCTTTTCTTATTTAGGTGTCTAAACATTTTTTTCGACCAATCCAGGGGCCTAACGTTATGAACGTTATCATTTTAAGTGTCTTGGTTGTAACAGCTGTTAAAAAAATTCGTTAGATGACACGTTTCGTATTTATATAATTTTAAAAATTTTATTTAAAAAATATTATTATATTTAAATAACCACAATTCCTCTAAAATTATAAAAAAAAACTCAAATCCCTAAAAATTAACCCTAAAATCTCTAACCCTAATCTTACCATATCCTTGGCATCTCCATTAACAATTGTCGTCGCCTTTAACGTCGCGCTTATCGGGTCACTGGAAGTCGAAATATTATCGTCTCCTCTGTTTTTCAAAGCTTATATTTTTTAATTAAAAATATTATTATATTTTAAAAAAATCTTAATCTCTAAAATCATAAAAAGAACTCAAATCTATACAAATACCCTAAAATCTCTAACCCTAATCTTACCATATCTCTTACCACTTGCCAGCCACGGCTACTGCCGCTGCCCTTGACATCTTCCTTATCGGCCGTCATCGCCCTTGATGTCACGTTTATCGTTGAGTCACCGGAGGTCAAAACACTGTCGTCTCTTCTGTTTTTGCCGCAATAATAAACCACGATAAAAAAAACCCACCACTTAAAACACCACGTTGTGATTTTTCTTCTACTTTGGTCACTGCTAATGAGTGTTGTTTCACCATTTTTCTTCCATTTTCTTCATCTCTGAATCGCTGAAAATTACCCAAAGATTACCTCTTCATCTCTGTATCACTAAAAAATAGCGACAATTTGATTTATGGGTTTCATCTCTGTATCGCTGAAACTTGTATAAAGGGAATTTATTCTCAACTATAATTTTTTTAAAAGCATGTTCTCAACTACGATTTTAAAATATCTTTGACAATGAAAGCCAATTGGTTCTTGAATTTTCATTGCTGAAATTTGATTTCTAGGCTTGATTTGTATGAAGGGTTTTTGGTTACAGCTGGGATTATTGAGAATTTGGTTAGGCGACACTGCTGGCAAGGGTTCTGGGTAGGTGGCCATTTGGTGACGGCAACTGGTGATGGCCGACGACAGTAATAGGGGTTTTGGATAACGATGGTAGCCGGTGTGGGCATAGGATTGAATTATGAATTTTAAAGTTTTGAGATTTTTTTTTGGGTTTTCTTAAAATATATAATTTTAATAATAATATTTATTTTAAATGATTTATCATATCTATTGACCTCGACATCCTACCAACCTAAAGCATCTATACAAGTAGCTTTTGGAAAAAAACACTTATATGGTTTTGTTCTAATTGTATTCCTCCATTATTCCCTCAGTTCCATCCACATTCAAAACAAATAATTCATCTCTGGTTGCTTACTTTTTATGGTGTCGTCTTCTTCTTCAACCAAAACCAATAGCATGAAGAAACCTTGGGGACTAGTCGAAGCAGTCTCGTGGTACTGTACTGTAGCCTTGTTGGCCTTAATATTTATGGGTTCCATCTGGGCAAACTATGAAGCTGCAGATGTGAAAGGGAGACAGCTACTGAACCGACCCTGTGATGAAATCTATGTGGTCGGAGAAGGGGAGACCCTTCACACGATCAGCGACAAGTGCGGCGACCCTTTCATCGTCGAGCGAAACCCTCACATCAATGATCCCGACGATGTTTTCCCCGGCCTTGTTATTCGCATAGTTTCTTGTTCAAATTAATAGACTTGTATCATATTATATGGACACTTTGAAGAGGAGTTAACAGAAGATGAATTACACTCTTGCAGACTGGGTTCTAGTCTGTTTTATATTTCTTTTCTTCTTTGTTTTGTAATAGGAGATAAGTTCATGGCTCAAAGCCTTTTTAATACGTGGAAATTGGGTTCCAGTACTCTATGTGATTAATTACTTTATTCATTTTCTTCGTTGTTGGATACTGACAGTATTTTCTTTGGAATTTTCATCATCGGCAATTTTATTCACCTGGAAACAAAAGATTTTGTTATTACGTTTTGTGAGGTTATCTTTCACACTTTGAATGAGAGACTAATCTTTGACTGGTATCATAGTTTTTTTTCTTCTTAAGGAGGTAAAAGAAAAATGAATAAAGGTGAGGTGATTCCAAATCCTTCCCTCTTAGTATTTTTCGCTCATTAAAGTAATTTATTAAAAATATTTAAATTTAAAAATTGTGTCTTGTTAAAAACCTCCTTAAATCTATTTGAAGAAAAAGACTACAGACAACTAAGTGATTAAATACAAAACAGAGATCGCGCTACACACCTAAATAAACACAAACAATAGAAAGACATACAAAGTGTTACAGAAACCGCAAAACCAAAAAGAACATACCTCTTCAAGCCAAAACTACTTACCACCATGCTTTAACACGTTCAAACCTAAACGTTCTGTCTTAGTATTGATATAGGTATAGAATCATCATGATAATTATCTGTAGACTAATACCTTAAGTGGATTTGATTAGCTGGCGGTAGATTTTACTCTAATAGGTCACATAAGTCTACTGTAGATCACGTCAATAGATCATAGCTACTCGAAGAATATTAGGGTCTGTTTATTGTCTTGTAATTGGTTTTTTAGAAAACGTTTTCCGTATTTTTCAGTGTTTAGTTGGTGGGAAACAAATGATCAACATGATTTATTTTCTTGGTCAATAGAATGTCCTATACATTTTCTAAAAAATGACTTACAGATTGAATTTCCATAAGTTATTTTCTGAAATTTTCACTTCAATGCATAAATATTCAAAATGACATTGTTCTATATATTTAATATTATTATATTATTTTAGTACCATTTTAATAAAAATATTAATATTTAAAATAAATTAATAATAATTTTAATAATATAATATTATATTTTTAGTATTATAATAATATATTAAATCATACTATAATAATATATGATATTATATTTTTATTTTAATAATATATAATAAATTATTAATAAAATTATTTTTATTTATTAATTTCATAAAATATTATTATTAAATTATTAAATATATAAAATATATTTATTAACATTTTTTAGAATATAATATAATGTTTTTATTTTAATATTATAATTTTATTCTTATTTTAATAAGTAATTAATATAATTAATAAAATAATATTCTTATTTTAATAATTAATTAATATAATTTATAAAAATTTGTCAACCAATGAAAAATGATTTACATGTATCACCTAAACACTGTAAAATGAGTTTCATAATTTTTTTTAGGAAATATAATTATTTTACGGAATTTATTTTTCAAAATTTATTTTCCGTAAAACAAACAAACTCTTAAATATTCAAGGTATTTTTCTTAATCTGATGTTACATTGAACGAAATATATATAATTGATTAACATTTTCAAAACTAAGCAAACCCAGTGAGGAAATTGTGACAAGTAGGATTAGATTTCTTATGGGGTTAATTAATTGCTGTAAACGGATCAAACATTTACGTCTTCCAAATTTTCATTTATTTACGTTTTATAAATAATCCACGTATCACTGTCCTTTACGCAAAAGAAAACGTGATGGAGGAATTGTAGGGCAGTAGAGAGTTGAACAGTGGGGTGGTGGATCCTTTTCTCTTATCCAATTTGCCAATATCTATGGTAATAGGCTATTAAGCCTAATGCCTGATAAGGGATAATATTATTTTTTACGATTTTTAATGCATAAATTCTCAAATCCAGAGATTTTTTTAGAATAGTTATCCTCAACCAACAAAATTAATTATCAATATTCTTCACCTACAAGACAATGTTTAAAACCCCATCATTTGTTTAAAGTTGAATGTGACTTGCCTTGCATACCTTAATATCATATAGAGATTGGACCAATATCATATAAATATTCGTCACCCACAAGCCAATGTTTAATTCGCACAACAACATGTTTAAACAAAATTATTTTTTAGGGCAATTTTGTCGAGACAATGAGGTGAGAAATCTTTTTCTTCCGCACCCCATAATTATTTTTCTCAAGTAAGATATTTTGAACAATAATATATGGAAGACATATGGAATAGAAGACATCTTCATGAAGGTGCATGACTTACGGGGCATCTTCAATATGGTTCAGACAACGCAGAGGAAGATGACCATGCAAGAAACTTTTGAACATGCATGCAGCTACGAGAAGATGTCGTGTCATTTGAGCGTCACTTGAAGACGTCGTATTGTCCAAACATTTTTCAACATACACTATAACAATTACTTCAGAAAATAATTTCTCCAACTCTAGATGATAATTTTTCCATCACATTATCAATCTAAATTTACCATTTTTGGGTTACTTAATAGATAGTCACTTTCATTTTTTTATTATATATTAAAGAATAATATTTTGATTATTAATATTTTTAATTTATAATATTTTTATCACTTGATCTTAAAATGTCATTATTTTGATGACATAACACATAATAAAAGATTTAATTTTACCATTGACTTTTAAATAAAATATTAATTTAATTTTTAAATTTTAGCTAAAATATTAATTTTAGCTAAAATATTAATTTTAGCTTGAACTTTAGATAAATATCAATTTAATATCTAAATAAATTCAAAGTCCTCCAGTAATGAGTACCACTCATCATCTTCATCGGTCATTGTAAGTCTCCGTCACCAATACCAATGATCATTGGACCCTGAAATTTTCAATTCACTCCTTTGAGGCCTCTTGAATGCTTTATCCAATATCAATTTCATTGAAAAATACTCAAAACTCCGTAAGTCTAGCCTAGAATCATCGACTTCCTTTTAAATTAAATCATAATATCATTAAATGTTTAAAAAAAATTAAAGACACTAGAAATCTAAATCTAAATATACATATAAATCATAATCAAATTCATAATTTTTTTGTTTATAATAATATAAATTTGCATAAAATATTAAATTAAATAATTGCTTTTGAATTTAAACTTAAAATTAGTTCAAACAACTTTTATGATAAAAAATATTAATTTTCTAACGATTTAAATGAAAATATCCTAACAGTTGAATAATTAATATGATAGTTTAGAATACACATGGCATTTACAATCAACCACGGTTTGGGATTTAATGATTAGTCACTAATTTTTTTTTCTTTTTTTTAAATATTCCTTATTTTGATGATTTTTTTATAATTCTTTTTTATTACCCAAGTAAAAGAAGACAACTACTACTTAAATCACAATATCATCAGCAACCTAAAGTTAAACAGCAAAATAGACAACAACAAACACTTAAGAAATACCCCATTTATCACAAAGGCAAGCATTAACAGAGTCAACCCTATTAATACTCCATCCCCTAACACGAACCTGAACCACCTCATTAATGTCCTGCAATACAACATTCATCGAGCGAGCCTTAACCCCGAAGTGTCTATAATTCCTCTCCTTCCATATGTTGTAAAAGGGACAAGCCCAAGCAATTTTGAGAATCATTGTGAGAAGGGATTTCCCTTTAAAATGAAAAAGTGCCCAAGCAAACTCCCTCTCCCAGCAACTAACTCTGCGTGAAGGACCACACAAAGCCAGAACACCCCCCCAATCACAACCAAAAATAAGTGATCCCTGGTCTTCGCCTCATTACCACATATCACACATATATCATTTTCAATATTCAAGCCCATCTGCAAGAGCTCGCCCTAGTAAAAAGCCTATCAAGAATGACCATCCATACTATAATATCGTGCTTGGGAGTGGTATCACACCCCGATCCGGATACGAATATGAGGTGTAACATTGATTTTTCAACGCTTTGACTCTGTGAAAATCCGACTGAAATTTGACTTTTTACTTTATTTTTAGTGGCGAAGCCCTCATTAATACAAGTTAATATCAAAATTGAAATTTAGATGATGAAAACAAATATTTAATATACTTACATAAACCTTAATTAATATAGTTACAAAACATATCAGAGCATTTGCGATTTAAACATTTGTAGTACATTTATAATACATGCCAACAAAATTTCAACATAACAAAATCACATACTGTTCAAATTGGTATGATCTAATCTTATGCAAAGGTATGTTGTCCTGACCTAGCTTTACTTTGCTGACTTCTTTGAACCTACGTGTGAAAACACTCACAAGCTAAGTCTTTGACTTAGTGAGGCATAAATGAGCATAATAAAACATTAAAACATTTGCTTAAACATTTCAGGAGAAACATTGTTTCATATAAATAACATATATTGTTATGCACTGTTCAATCCATATTAACTTGTTTAAATTGCCCAAAATATATCACTGAGAACTCAAGGTATGTGAGTACTTTGAGGTTGTGCAGTGTAATTGTAGTCGAAATTGCCGCGTAGAATTTACACTGGAATGCCACGTAGAATATGCACCGAAGTGCCACATAGATTTATCCCGAAGGACCACGTAGCAGTAAAGTTCACGGTGGAAGAGAAAAAAAGAAGATGAAGAGAATTCTCTAGGCTTTTCTTTTCCTTTCTCTTATTTCCTCACATGTTATAATAACCTTAAAAATGAATTTTAAATTCATTTCATGCCAAAAGACCATTTTGGCCTTCCATCCTTCAATCTTTGATAATATATCCTAAACCAAAAATTTCTAAATCAATTCTTGAACATTTAAATTTATCAAAATCAAACCACTAAATTTTGAATTCTTACAATTTAGTCACCGACCCGATATTTGTTGTATTACAATTTTCCTTCCCTTAAGACAATTTGTCCTATAA